GGCTGGCGTTAAGAGAGTTAAAGTGCCATTGTACCGCGTCCTTAAAGAGATGATGCATTTCATTCTGAGACCAAGATCGCAAACAAGCCAGCAGTTCATTAGTCGCTCCGACAAAATTTGATCCATTATTACTGAATATGTGTTCTAGTTTGCCTCTGCGAGCTGTGAACCGGTCCAGAGCCATGATGAATGATTCCGTTGAGTATAAGTGCGCTACCTCTAGATGTACTGCTCTCCTGATCATGCAGGTAAAGATACATCTGTATCTTTTCTCCACGGACCGGCCCCATCCAATAAAAAATGGTCCAAAATAGTCTAGACCAATCGAGTGGAATGGTGAAAATTGTCTACTCAGTCTATTTATAGGCAATGGAGCCATTAGCTGACACCCTGGCTTACCCATTTACCTACGACAGTGAATGCATTTGGTCAGAACTCTCTTTATTGCTGCACCACCTTTGGTTATCCATAACCGCCTCCTAGTTTCAGATAACATGTGCTCGGGCCCTGAATGGCCTTCCTTCTCATGAAAGTGACGTATGAGAAGTTCGATTACATGGCGTCCTGGGGGCAGGATAGCTGGGTGTCTTGCGTCATGTGGCAAGTGCGCGTATTGCCGTCTACCACCAACTCGAAGCATTCTATTTACTAAAATTGGACATACTTTACGTAGGGCGCTACCCCTGTGCACGTGCCCCTTAGGTTCCATTAGAAAAACCTGCTCGTCTGAGAACGATTCTGCTTGAACTAGACGCACAACATTGTCACATGCAAGCTCAATCTCTTCTGTCGAAAGTCTACCCACTCGTGGTGGCAACGTACCTTTCTTTCTAAACATTACGTTGATATATTGTGTAAAGCGCCTCAACCAAGCTGTTGCTCGTAACAGTTTGTACCATAGCGAATGATAAGAAAGTAAATTGACGCTAATCGTGACAGTTGTTTGGTTGATAGTCACTGTGCACCTAAGCTCAATCTGCCCTTCGATTTCTTCAGTGGAAACCAAATTGAATGGAGGAATCTCTTCTAAGTTTCTCAGGAATGGCGACTCCGGAGCCGACTTTCCCACTCCTGGTCGTCCGCCTTCAGACCGCGAGGGCCGTGGTCTTCAAGATTAATGGTTCCCTTCATGTGATACTATTGCTGAGGTGTTGAGCTTTCATGTATTATAGCCAATCGGTTGGCTATAAATGTGCTATAACGAGCTGATCTGTCGTTCATGTAATAAAGAACAATTGTTGAATCAGTCCAGTAGAATATAGACCCCTTTGAAATATCTAACTCCTGGCTTATGGTATCACATAACTTAATCGCTACAACGGCAGATGCCAGCTCTAGTCTAGGTATGGTAACTGCCTTATGTGGAGCCACGCGAAATTTAGCCATAACGAGGTCACAGACAACATTACCATTTATGCTGTCCCTCAAGTAGGCTGCGGCCCTGTAAGCTGATTTAGACGCATCACTGAAT